GTAAAGTTGTTAACATACAAACAAGTGTTTTGTACCAAAAGCCTTGTCTCTTGAATGACAGGAACTTGATTCCAGGAAGTACAGTTGAAACCAGTTTGTTTCCAAGCAGAACAGAACGGGGGCCCATGTTGAGGGATTCTGATGTTCTTGAATGATCCATCAGTTTTCTTGATTTCTCTCTTGTTCATGTTGAATTCATTCTTAACTCAGGGGTGGCTAGGGGATATGAGGGGAGTCTACAGTCCAGGTCTGAATCACTGGAACTCAACATAGAAAAGAGAGCTCCTTCTCCCACAGTCCCTGAACATAAAAAGGTCACACAATTGTCATTACACAGATCGCCCAGCTAGGGTTCTGGGTCTTTGGACATACAGTTAGTTAGATGGGCCACACGATTGGTTTTCTCACTAAAACTTACATCATTGTAGGGTTTTCCTACTTTGAGCAAAAGAAGAGAGGAAAGGGTACCACTAGCTGCAAAAGGAATGTCTCGCATCATGTGTCTAATCTATGTGTTAACTTTTGCTTACACAGACAGAACGAATTTACTTTCGGGTCTACTTACCAAAGGGGAGCAAAGAGAAGAGCAAAGCCATGTTCTTCTGCCACCGATGGAGCATTGGGAAGGTCGTGGACTTCGCAGCTTCCCTAGCCAGCCTTCGAAATGAGAACAACAAGTTGACGGCCAAGGTACTGTGCAGTCAGCATTCCTCCTTCAGGGTCTGGGATGTGTCGTTACCACCGGGTGACTTGTTTCTCTCTCAGCAGAAGCTGAGGCTGTGCCACGTCCCTTCAGGAGAAGCCGTGCCCTTGGATCACACTTTGGAAATGTGGATCACTAGGGAGGACAACCCTTTATATAATGGTGGAAATGTTATTTTGGAATATCTCAACGATGAAGAACAGACTTTAAAAAATGTTGACTCTTACTTGGAATAGTCACTCAAGAATTAGAGCCAGAATTTACAAGTAGAAATAATTAAAAACTCTAAAAGTTGCTTTTTTATAATTTATTTCCATTAGGTCATAATTTACATCAGTAGTTTTCTACTAAGTTCCAGGTTTTGTGTTTTGAAGTTTAACTATGTACTGAGAGTTATGGTAAAGTATTATTTTTATTACTGTTCCTGGGTTATGTGTAGAAACATCAGCAACCATGTGTTTCCTGTTAGGCCCATGCCAGCTGCTGACTTCCTGCTGTGGCACGTTCTGTACCACCTTCACTCCAAGCTCCAGCTCATACCATACCCACCATTCTGTGGTTTTGCCATTCTTGTGGCAGAGGAAGATGCAGATGGCAGATGCTTCAGTCCCTGTTGATTTTGTTTTAAGCAAGTTCTGTAATTAAGCCTAATTGATTACAGGGCCAGAATGCATGGTCTACTGTAGACCTAAATGATGATGTATGAATTGATATATGCACATGAACTGCAGAAGCTTAGACATCCTCTCGTTACATCTTCCAAGTGTTTGGATAAGAATCCTCAAACCTAAGAAGGGAAAGTTATTTTCTTGGTATCATGTAATTGCCCCGAATATATTTCTGGTAAAGAATTTTCACCAATTGATTCGCCTTTTGTTGGTATGAATGTACTACAGATGAGAAGAGCGATGAACAGGCTGACTTTGTTACAGTCTCCTTCATTGTACCAAAGCAAAATATCCACCAAAATGATTGCATTTACCTGTACATTGAAAGAAGTCCTCTGGGGAGGCTTTTTGTCTACACCTGAGGAGAAGGAATGTTTTCTGTCTGTAGTGGATGCAGGACTACACTAGAGAAGGAAATCAAGTATTTTTAATTGCCCCCCCCCTTCTGTACCAATTTTCATGACTTCAGGTTTAATTAAAGGAATAAACTCAGCATGTTCATTTGGTCTTCTTCAGCTCCATCTTTTTCATGTCCTTGTGATAAAGAGTGATACTTTCTAGCTTTTATCAGGTTCTGAATTCATGCCTTTACATAGCTGCCTGCATGCCTACTTGACATATTAATGTCTAGTTGCCAATACAGGCACAGTGGAGATATGTATACATATACTTGGAACTGTCATACGAAGTTGTAAGGCAGGTTGCAAATAAGTGAATGGACAATATAGCCATGTCTCAATAGCTGTTTTGTTGGAAACTATCAAACTAGCAATAGAAATAATCCTTTAAAAATCCATATACCAGGAGTTGGGTTTGGTTTGGGTTGGTTTGGTTTTGGGTTGGATTAGTTTTTTGTTTTGAGATACCAGAAAGTTTTAATGCCAACCAGTGTGGGACGTTTACCCACCACCCCCACAGTTCCTCAGAGTTTTCTTGAGTGCGAGCAGCAGGAAATATTAGATAGAAGGATTTATTGCGGAGAATCTTGCAGAGATAAACAGATAGAAAATAAAGGATAGCCTCGAGAGGGCCTGGAACCTTTTCCAACGGGCCTGTCTCTGCCCCAGGGTTTTTATAGAGATGCCAAGGGGTGGAGCAAAAGACCTCCTCCCCCGGCACAGCCAAGTGCAGACCATCTCAGACACCTGCACTCAGGCCTGTGGTCCTAATCATCTTCTATGAGGACCTGCTGGGTAAAGCCAAAAGGAACCCGAGAACGGGCTCCCACAAACCAGTACTTTACATTAATCACAATTACTTGCACACAGTAGGTAGTCAGCATATATAATTGAATGAAAACTAAATATGCAGAAAAATAATACCTACTGAGAAGAGGGCAAATGAGGCTGGCATGGATTGAAACCTAGAAGGATGAAAAAAATGTCTTCTCTCTTTGGTCAGACAAAAAGGACAAGGCTGTCCAGAGGGGACCAACAACAGTGGGCACACTGTAAGCTAGGTCAGGTCCTCGCCGGTGGAGCCCGCAGGTCTGAAAGATGCCAGGGAGGAACATCCTTGGTACTAAGGACTGGCAGCTAAAGCATGCTTAGTCTAAAGAGGACAAGATGTGCAGGTGAGTCTCAGTCCCCCTAACTCCCGGTGTCCAAATCACTCGGAAAGCAGCAAACGCAGGGCATTGGGTTAAATCTGCCTAATGAAACGGCAGGTTACACCGTCCCCATCACTCCTAGAGTTTTGACTGCCGACGGTCCATTACAATTGTACTGGGAAACACACAAAGCATAGGAGATGAGTGCAGATGAACAACTGAAATAACACCTTAGTACTAATGAGCGTCAGTCTAAAGAATGAGGAAACACACGAGAAAGCTGGATGATCGGACTCTTCCCAGCTACAGTGATCAGCTTTTAGTCCCGAAGTTTTCAGATATGAAGAAGGGTTGGGAGAGCCTGAAAGAGAAACAAAACAAAATAAAACAACACAACTCTAGATAAAAGCACTTGAGAGGAAAAACATACCTACTTCAGATTGCTTGGATCTGGTCAAAGCTGTGAATTAAGGTACTAGGTCATATAATTGTAAGGGTAACTGCCATTTTCTTTTCTAAATTACATTATTTAGTTTTGGTATATGCGGGCACATGCCACAGTATGTGTGTGGAGGTCAGAGGACAACTTGGGGGGACGGGGTCTTTCCTGCTATGTGGGTTCTGGGGATCAAACTCAGGTGTGCACCCTGGCAGAAGTGCCCTACCTACTGAGCTACCCCACTGGGCTCTTGACTCATTTTGACAAGTTCTTCCTGTGTAGTTCAGGCTGGCCTTAAACTTGTGACTCTCCTGTGTTAGCCTTCTCAGTGTCAGGTGTTCTTGTCACTTTAAAGATCTACCTAGTGAGTTCCAGGACAGCCAGCCAGAGATTCATAGTGATACTCTGTCCTAAAACAGAGCTTAGTCCTGTTGCTTGTCCTCCCCACTGGTAAAAGTGTTTGTTGTTTTTTTTTAATGTCCTACATAGAACTAAATGATGCCAAATTCATGTTTGAAAAACACATACACAGTCTCTTTAAAAATCTGTCAAACTGTGAAAATGCCAAGATGAAGTGCATCACTTTGTATTCTAACACACACAAGTAGAATAGACATTTGTAGTCGTGGGGAGATTACTGTTTGAATTTTCACTGCTTGGCATCCTTTCATTTGGGAAATGCACAGTTGAGTTTGTGGACTGCTTTTCCTCACCTGTGGAAGCTGAGGCACGGCTGGGTCAGGTGACTGCTGCCCACACCCCTAGCTCTGCACAGTGAGTCATGTTACTAAGAAAGACTAGAGCGTTAGAATTAAGCTCAGTACCTTTCCACTGAGGAATTCCAAATGCCAGGGAGCAACTGCCACTCAGCCAGGCTATACCTTTAACCACCTGCTCAAGTTAGCTGGTGGTGTGCCTGACGTTTTCCTACAGACAGACACCAAGGGCAGTCTAAGGGTTTGTTTTGCCTGATAGATTGCTCTAGAACTCCAGAAAACCATTAGTATCAAGGATGGTCTCAAGAGCAGCCATTGTAGCCACAATGGCAGCCACATGACTAACTTCAAGTGAACAAAGTTGAACCTCTCTTGGTCACTATGGCTTGCAGTTTAGGGCCCCAGTGTTACAGGTGTGAATCAGGGTGCATAGGGCACCTGCTCCAATTTCCAATTGCTTGTGACCCTGAACAAGGAATTGGACTAGGGATGGACACACGGATGGTGACAGGAAAAGCGATGGAAGTGGGCCTGGGCTGGAGAAGGGTTAGGAGTTCAGTGCCACCTGTTCAGAGCTGATTGGCACATTTGCCCCACACGGTGTTTGTTTTTTCTGCGCATGCTCTGTTAGAAGACAGCCTTAATAGGAAGGGGCTTCCAGTCTTTCAGCTAACTGGCTTCTTTCATGTGCCAATTTTCATTAATTCTCTCTCTGTCTCCCTCCCTCCCTCTCCCCTACATCCTTCCCTCTTCCTCAGTCCCTCCCCTCCTCCTCCTCTCTCCCGACTACACACTCTCCTGTCACAGCAGCATGTAGATTATGCTGTTTGCTTCTGACTTGATGGAATAGTAATAATGAATTCCCAAGCATTAGTATCTATCTTAGGACCACCCCCCCCCACCCCCCCCCCACCCCCCGCTGCTTTCATTTTATTATTTTCCTTAGGACAAAAGAGAACTAAAAGAATAATAACTCCAAGAGTTTATCCTCAGGTAATAAGGAACTCAGGAAGAGAGATTAGGTTTTTGTGACAGGGACACCTGTTAAATGCAAGGGTTTACTTCTCATTTTTCTTGACTACAAGTTAAACTGGTTGTATCACTCCCTAGATGGCTCTATATTCGTTTGAAGTACAGCAGTCCCTCCTCTTGGACCTTGACCCAACCAAACCCCGGCTGTTACCTAACTCCCATTTATGCATTCTACCACTGAAGACCGGCAAGAAGAATGGTCTTTTTTTGTTTTTTGAAAAAACCGAGTTGCCACATATGGTTGCTCTAACCTTTCAAGATGTTTGGAAAATCTTTTGTAATCCTACTTTTGTTGGTGACCCCAGGAGAAGCAAGGAAGTCGTTTCTCAGTTTTCTGAACATACAAAATACCGAAATACTGTCATTTGCTAAGGCAGAAGAAACTGTCGTTGTAAAGTCCAGTTATAAAGGTAAACAGCCTAGCTCCAGCTACCTTTTTGTGAAATCAGATGATCCAACGGTGCTGCAGGTGGTGAACGTGACCAAGACCTCGCTGGACGCCACAGACTTTACCATCTGCCTAATGACTTTCCCAGGAGAGACGAATCTGACCATTCAACTCTGGGATTCCGAAGGTAGGCAAAAAAGACTCATCGAAGAGATAAAGAATATTAAAGTCAGAGTTTTCGGACAGACAGAAGACAGCCTCTTCCAGGCACCTATGCATGTCAATAGATACATCTTGCTGCTTGTTTTATCGATGATCCTTTTAAATAAATGTGCCTTTGGCTGCAAGATTGAATTCCAGGTACTTCAAACAGTATGGAAGAGACCTCGGCCAGTAGTTCTTGGGGCAGTCACACAGTTTTTTCTTATGCCATTCTGTGGTTTTCTCCTGTCTCAGATTTTGGGATTGCCCAAAGCACAAGCTTTTGGATTTGTAGTGACCTGCACATGCCCAGGGGGAGGCGGGGGCTACCTTTTTGCTCTCCTTCTGGAAGGAGATGTCACTTTGGCCGTTTTGATGACTTGCACATCAACATCCCTGGCCCTGATAATGATGCCTGTCAATTCGTACTTATACAGTAGGCTATTAGGATTAGCAGGTATATTTCACGTTCCTGTTTTCAAGATCGTGTCTACACTCCTATTCATTCTTATACCAATATCGGTCGGTGTAGTCATCAAGCACAGGGCTCCTGAGAAAGCAGTCTGTTTAGAGAGAGTAGTTCGGCCTCTGAGTTTGACTTTAACGTTTGTCGGGATCTATGTGGCTTTCAGGATGGGGCTGGTGTTTCTGAGAACGGCTAACCTAGATGTGCTTCTCCTGGGGCTGCTGGTGCCTGCCCTGGGCTTTACGTTTGGCTATTCCTTTGCTAAAGTCTCTATGCTGCCTCTTCCTGTTTGCAAAACAGTTGCTATCGAAAGCGGGATGTTGAACAGTTTCTTAGCCCTGGCCATTATTCAGCTCTCTTTTTCACAGTCCAAGGCATATGAAGCCTCTGTAGCTCCTTTTACAGTAGCCACGTGTTCTGGATGTGAAATGTTACTGCTCCTTCTGGTTTACAAGTGTAAGAAAAGAGGAACCCTTAGCACAAAAACTGAAAACACTCCTTTCGTCTAAAACTTACAGCACTCCTAATTCTTGCCCTGGCTGAGACACTGTGGGAGATTCAAACTATGCATAAATAATGCTTGCTCTAAAGGCATCTCTCATCTGGCTAAAAGCTTGACATGGGAGGTGAGATTATTTCTTCTAATACTTGTATGTGTATGTTTTACATATTTGTGTGTGTAACATATAGGCGTGTATAATATGTTACACACGTATGTATATGTTAAATATGTTATATATGTTTATATGTATATGTTATATAACACACACACTGTGTGTGTGTGTGTGTGTGTGTGTGTGTGTTATCCATAGTAAGCACCCAGTGACTGCTACAGTACATATTGAGAAGGGAGCTTAAGATTCCTTGCAGTATGTTAGTTTGGTAATGATTTTATAACCTCTTAATGAGGAATAGCAATGGAAATAACCAGTAAATCCTGTATATCCTAAGTTTTTAAGGAAAGAAGGTTCTTTGGATGGAGCAGCACATATTGACTCGGGGAATGAGCACACAGATTCCTATCTGGCCCTCCCACTAGCTCATCTGGAAAGAGCCTGTCTTGAATAAACACAGCAGCTCTGTTTTCACAGCCACACGTGCTTCTGACTTCCATCTTCCACACCAAAGGCACTGCCACTCATCTGGAAAGGACATCTCCTCCCTCCTCTGTCCTTTTTTTGAAACAGTCAACCTCATTATTGCAGAATGTTCATCCACTACCTGCACCAGCCTCCTCCCCATTCCCAGGGCTATTGCTCTTGTTATACATATATTGCTCTTTCCCCAAACCTTTCCAAACTGGCTTTGGCTTCTTTCTTCTAACTCTAGTCAGTCATATTAATCTTATAAAAGTTTAACTTGGGGGGCTGGAGAGATGGCTCAGAGGTTAAGAGCACTGGCTGTTCTTCCAGAGGTCCTGAGTTCAATTCCCAGCAACCACATGGTAGCTCACAACCATCTGTAATGAGATCTGATGCCTTCTTCTGGCCATGCAGACACAGCACTGTATACATAATAAATAAATAAATCTTTAAAAAAAAAAAGTTTAACTTGGATGGCATAATTTCCCTGCAAAGAAGCCTGTTTGCTACATGTATAAAGCTCCTATTCCCCAGAAAGGTAATATTACCCTCCACTCTGAATTTAATCAGCTTCCGGTTTGCTCCCTACCACTTCTTTACATATGTGTCTTTGCCATTTTGTAGGTTCCTTTTGACTCAGATTTTGGCTCTGCCTAAGGCACAAGCTTTTGTATTATACAGGTCTTTGCTTCTGGTAAAGCAGAGGTTTAGTGTCTCAAGGATATACCTTGTGTAAGCCAGACTGGCTGTTTTATAGCAATTTCTGTTCTGTTTAATCTCCTTACTCATCTTTAAGCATGAAACCCATTTTGATGTTTTTCTATCATATTAGCACTAAATTTTCCATATGCTTATTCAAACAGATTGTTAAAGCACAAGCTAGGACTCAAATGAAGACCATGCTTCAAAAAGTAATCAATTAGTCTTTGGTCAGGGGTATGCAGCAAGAGTGCTTGTCTGGCATATTTGAAGCCCTGGATTGTAACACTGAAAAAATAAACACACACACACACACACACACACACACACACACACACACACACACACACACACTTCTACATGCACTTCATGGGATAGATTTCTACATCATCAAAATCTATAACTGAAATTTTCGATGCATTTTTTAGTACTTAAGAGCAGACCAGTCTGTATTCTTGTCTAAGACAATGTAACCATTAAGGAAAAACAAAACAAAACAACAAAAACAAAAACAAAAAAAGAAACACTCTTAAGGATATACCTTTCTCTATTTGACTATTTTCTTGTTGTTGGAGGCAAAATAATGATCCCATATTCCAGGTCCCTTATTTTAAAAAGGTGGAAATAATGATGTCAACTCCATTAGATTGTCCTGGGAATGATATTCAGCCACACGTCTACTGTGCTTGCTGAGCAGAGCACAGAGTTAGCTATTATTACTGCTTTGTTCAAGTTTAAACTGTTGACACTGACAGATGCATACTGGTGGTTTGAAATGTCAGATAGCTATGTTTGGAGCCTAAACTTATAATATTTTCCTGTCAGTGTTCCTGCCTATAGTGCTGTAGTACTGGGAACTTCTGTTTTCTGCCGACATAAGATAGACAAATCTGCTCTTTCTTATATCACTAAGTCCAGTGTATCAAAAACAGGATTCATAAAAGACCTGATGGTATGATGATGGGTGGCTATCCTGATCTTAAAAACAGTAATTGCCTCCCTGGAGTATTTGACTCCTTTAGACAGAAACATCCATTCAGAGGCTCAATATGTAAGTGTATTTATATAATACAAACTTAACTAGGTACCTCTTAGTGAACATAATTTGCCAATTGCAAGTCAGGAAACCTGCCTTTCTAGTTGTGCTTTATGATCAACCTTATGACACTGAAAGTGTGTCAGTTTTTAAAACTGTAAAACCCAGAGATCAACAGAGGCTTTATGTTCTCTCTCTCTCTGTGTCTCTGTCTCTGTCTGTCTGTCTGTCTCTCTCTCTGTCTCTCTCTGTGTGTGTGTGTGTGTGTGTGTGTGTGTGTGTGTGTGTGTGTGTGTTTAAAATCTATCATCTCCGAGTTTTTCTCTTGTCATGTATGGAGGTCTCTACGACCATCAGAACCAGCTTTCACACACTCAGTAACAGGGTTTTGGACTTTGTGGCACTGGCTCGCAGCACGGCCATTGTGGAATCAGACGCTGTTGTACATGTCACTTTGAGAAGTCACCTGGCAACAGAATGGACTGTTTGTGCTGAAAAGCCTGAGTTACCTGACATCAGTTCTGAAGAAAACAGAACTGGAGTTCCTGCTCATCTGATGGAGGAAGCCAGCGATAGCTTTAATGTAAAGAAATCCTGTATTCAGTCCCTCATTTATCTTACTTCAAAATGCTTACAATGATTTTAGCAGCGTTGCCAAGACAGTGGGACTACTCTCACTCATGAAAGGTTTAAAGATGCTATTTCCTCAAAGGCCTAGAGAATTCCATTTGTTCACATATCCATGTCTGTCAGCATACATTTGATAAGATTTTTTATTTTAAAATGGTTGACAATGGATAACCCAGAAACCTAGTTTTTGAAGGCCTTTTTGAAAAATCAAAAAAAAAAAAAAAAAAAAGCCAAGAGTATTTGATAGAGGTATCCAAGTCAGTTTCTTAAGATAGCATTCTTCAGAAGAGCAAAGACAAGTTTTGGCTCTTCGTGAGGTTTACAAGTTGGATTCATCATTCCTGCCACTCATCTCTGAGACATGTTGCACATCATTAACAATTTCTTGTCTTTTGATTAAATCAAGAGAAGCAATGAATTCACAAGCAATTATGCAAGAACACTGTGGTCCTCTTGTGGGTAAGTCATATGTGTAGAGTTTTCCACTTAAAAGTAACATGCCTGCCATCGTACCTGACCTACCATTTCATGTGAGGAAACATTTTAAAAAACTATACACTAGCTTCTGTTGCCCGTATGGAGCAACCTGCTTGACCCATATATATTTTCTTTATGTGGACTTTGGAGTCAGGGAGCTGTGTTCATGCTGTGTGAGTTTGGGACAAATCCCTTAACTTCTCCAAGCCTCAGTTTCATGATCTGTATAATGAAGAGAATCTTCATGAAATTGTTGTAACACTTATGTATAGGCATGTACGAACACAGTTGCTGCCTGGTGTGGTGGCACATGCCTGTAACCGGAGAACTCCAGAAGTGAGGACGTGAGGATCAAAGACTTGAGAAGCCAACCTAGGCTACATAATGGGACATTGTTAAAAATCCACGGCTGGGAAGCTAGCTCCATGATAGGGTGCTTGTATGCTATTTACAAAGCCCCAGGCTTTATCCTTAGAAATGAGGTTTGGGGCGGGTGGGGAGCCACCTGCCTGCAGGATGTCAAGCCCTCAACAAACAACAACCGGTATCTAAGTGAATTACTGCAGAGAGTTGGTACTGAGAGCCAATTATCAAAAATTTAAAATCTCCTTTAGGCTTACCTAATACAAGTTTAGCAACTAAGAGCTGCACAGTGATAGTCACAACTCCAATTTATCTGTGACCAAAAAGCAGGATGGAACTCAAGGACCAGATGGGAGAAATGGAAAGGAAAACATGAACAAATAAAGACGAAAGTGGAGATTTGCAAAATAAAGAGGGGGTTCTTAGAGAAGAAAGGGTATGCAGGAGAATGCCAGAATACACCAACTTCAACCAGACCAGCCCTCCCAACGCCAAGGACGTCCAGGTTGGCAACTCCGGGCTGAGTCCAGACGTGAAGGCGGGGTTTCTAGACGTCCGGTCCCCGCCCGGAGGCCTCAGGGGGCGGGACTTCCTGTCGGAGCAGCCCCGTTACCTCCGGAAGAGCCGAGCCCTCGACCCCGGCAGTTGAGCTTCGCAGTGCGCGCTCACACGAGGTAAGTCCGTTCTGTCCCTGCATCCCCGCGCAGCGGGGGCTGAGGCGCAGGCTCGGACGAGCTGCCGGCGAGCTGCCCCCATGCTGGGCCGGGGCGGTGGCCGGGCCCTCCTCCCGGCTCTGCTTTCCGGAGTACTCCGGAAACAGCCGAGCGGCTTCGCCAGGCCATCCTCCTTGATCTCCGGGGTTCTATGTCGCAGAATACGCCCGACTTTGCAGAAACCCTCAGGGATCTATATGGCAAGTTCTCGGGGTCCCGAAATCACAGGGTTAGGGATGGACAGGCCCAGGTCCGGCGATGTCTTACGTCAGGAGCAGGGACAAGTGACAGGGGAGCGGAGTGGCTGTACAGGATAGAGACAGTTTGAAGTCTGTATGACTTTTGTTCCCAAAGTGAAGGCTGATAGAATATAACCCCCATGAAAGCAAGTCTTGTGGCAAAGAGGTCTTTGAAATAAAAGGGTTTATTGAGCCATTTACATATACTAGCTAGGAAAAGGACCAAGACTTGGGGCACATTTTGTAAACTACCAACAACAAGGGTAAAAAGTACGTCTGAGATTTATAGATAATGGTATTTTTGGATTTCAACGCACAGGTTTTTTAGTTCTCCATTATTGCCCCCACTCCTACCCCACAAAAAAGAACAAACCCCAACAACTGTTACCTAATTGACTTCCCTTATTCCCTGTTGTGGACCCTGTAAATTTCAGGGCACCTCAGAAGATTTCATTTATCAGCCCCCTTTCCTCAAGAAATATATTCAGACTGGTTGAAAAGATGTAGCATGCATACAAATGACTAAATGCTGTATAGCAACAGCATTTTTTTTTCTGCAAATGTCTATTGGTTGATATCTATTCGTCTGGATAATGCCTTGAAGATATGATGGATAGCTTTTGAAACGGTCTTGGGGAATCGGTAGGTGTTCTGTTAGTGGTTAGTGTTGTCACAAAGTGACATGTGAGAGGCAGGAGCAGTTTCTGGTGAGGAAGCCCAGCCCAAGACAGTTGAGTTGTGAGGAGACGAGAAGAGTGGAATAAGAACAAGATTGATAGTGTAGAAACCATTCTTGAAGAGCACTAAGCAGTTTGTCGTATAACTTAGAGTAGTAGTCTTTTACAGTTACTTGAATGCTTGTATCACAAGGAAAAGGCATTTAGTCACGATGGCATGTGGCTGTCATCCCAGCCAGCATTCTGAAAACTGAGTCAGGATGGTCAAGCGTTTAAAGCCCACCTTGTCTCAAGGAAAAGGAAGCAGCAGCCAGTAGACACTTGTCCATCTGCTCCGTGTCACTGTGCTGCTTTTCCTGTGCAGTGAGGCAGAGAGTTCAGATGCTCTTCAAGAGGAAGCACAGCGTCACTTGCTCTCCGTTGTGCAGCAGACAGAGTTAGCGTGGCTTTATGAAGAAGGCCACTTTTTCTGAGCATGACCGCTCCCATGCCTCTCTGTGCGAAGAACTCCTGTTAGCTGTGGTCAGGCCTGTGGGTCGCTAGCGGCCAGCAGAAAGCTGGCAAGTCACACGGTTATACTTCCCCCTCCCTGAAGCCTAGGAGGTAAATGGTGCCTTTGCTTTTATAATTATATTTTTAGACCTAAAGTTTTTTTTTCCCTCAGAATGCTGTAATGGAAAGCAAGGAACTTTCAAATCAGAATTGAGTATACATTCTGTAAAATCTGCCTGTATAACATTGGGCAAATTATTTCTAATCTGTATGCCTTAAATTCTTCACCTTTACAACCTTATTAAAAAAAAAAAATTCCATGTACAAAGCACTTAGCTTCCCGGAGCTCAGTTAACACAGACATCTTTTGCTCCTTTGTCTTTAAACAAAGATTTAAAGTGGCCAGGCAGGAAGTGTAGGTGGGACAAGGAGGAGAATAAAGCTGGGAAGTGGAAGGCTGAGTCAGAGAGACACTGCCAGTCGCCATGATGAGAAACAGCATGTGAAGATGCCGGTAAGCCACGAACCACGTGGCAAGGTATAGATTTATAGAAATGGATTAATTTAAGCTCTAAGAACAGTTAGCAAGAAACCTGCCACAGCCATACAGTTTGTAACCAATATAAGTCTCTGTATTTACTTGGTCGGGTCTGAGCGGCTGTGGGACTGGCAGGTGAGAGAGATTTGTCCTGACTGTGGGCCAGGCAGGAAAACTTTAGCTACACCTGCTTTGATTTCAGCCTTCCTGGAGTTCTTTTCTTGTTCTCCACCCACTCATATACCTGACCTTTAGACTACTTCTTGATCTCATCTTGACCTACCTAAGCTTCAGTTGGATCCCTGCTGTCCCGACAATATGATATGGTATGGCCACTTCCCAAATGTGATACTATATGGACACTTTGGGAGACAACTTCATAGAACATATTTTTGCTTTGATATAATTCTTCTATTAAGTTGAGTATAGTGGCACATGTCTTTAATCCTAGCACTTGGGAAGTAGAGGCAGGGCATCAGGAGTTCAAGGTCATCCTTGACTGTTTATTGAGTTTGAGACCAGCCTGGACTATGAGACACTGACTCAAAACAACAACAGTAACAAACATTTTCTACTATAGAGGTGAAATATGTGTTGTTTCAAAATGATGTTTACTGGGCCTTTATCTTGGGCAAAAATGTTGAACTCTAAACCAGGGAAGGGCTGAATCAAAATCAAAGTAAGTTTCTAATGGAGATGCTTGTGTCAGTGAGTGATTGCAGAGTTTGTAACTGTGTTGTGCTTCCCTGTGTTGGATGTGTTTAGAAGATGTCCGACCCCTGGCAAGAGTGCATGGACTATGCGGTCACCCTCGCAAGACGAGCTGGAGAGGTATGTGTGAACCACAGTTTCCCTGCCGGAGTGTGATGTGTGTAGAGACCACAGTACAGCCTTGTTCGGTAAAGCATATTCCGATTAGTCTACATTGTCTGTCTTACTAAACGCTTTAACTACAGTGGAATCGTGTGTATGTGGCACCAGGGATGGAACCTGGGACTGTGTGCGTGTTAGGCAGGCACTGGCACTACATGACATCCCCAGCTGGATTTTCCAGTGTGTATTGTTAAGCTTTTGTGATGACAGTCCTGAATCTAAAATAGAATATGAAATTATGTAATATTTTACCTAGAAAGTCATAACTCTAAAATGTCTTATTTCATAGACATTTTTGAAAGAAAAATTAAGAACATTATGTAAGACTGATTGAATGCTTGAAATTATTTTTGTAATGTACCTTTTTGTTTGGTTTAAAATTACTTACATATTTTTTACTTGCTCACCAAAAATGTCTTTTTAGATGATCTGTGAAGCTCTAAAAAATGAGATGAATGTTATGATTAAAAGTTCTCCAGCTGACTTGGTAACAGTTACCGACCAGAAAGTTGAACAGATGCTTCTCTCTTCTATAAAGGAAAAGTACCCATCTCACAGGTATTTCTTGCACCAATTTAAAGTGATAAAAGTAAGCCTAGGTTGTAATCTAGGCCAGTATTGCTTCTAGGTACAGATTTGTAAGTTGACTTAAGCTTGAAAAGGAGGAGCCTGTTTGAGTTATTGGGCAGCTCAGGCTGATGGGGAAGAAGAAGACACAGCTGTGAGTGATGTCTGGGCCATTGCTTTGGATAGTGTGTGCGGTCTTGGTCTTGACTGATGGCATTGACTCTTTCTGACCAGTCTTTTAGATATTTGTGCCTCATTAGTTAAGATTCCAAATCCTGAGAAGGAGCCCCTGGTGCTGAGTTAGGTCGGTTGCCTGTACTGCGGTTCTAGGGGTCGGGGAAGAGGGGGTCTTTGGATTCCTTAGATGGTGGAGGCAATTGTCTGCTGCTGCAGGCACAGTAGAAAAGCTCAGTTAAACTCGTGCATTGCAGAGTCCCTTACGTGTGAGAGAAATGGTAGCATTGGGAAGTTTGAGAGAAAATCCCAAAGTCAGGACTCTGCACAGACACAGGAATTAGCAGAAACACTGTTGTCAGCCAGGCAAGGTGGCAGATGCCCCTAATTCTGACACTCAGGAGATGGAGTTAAGAGGCATGGGGATGTGTAGCCGCCCAGGGCCACCCAGTGAGAGCCTGTCTCAGGAAACTCCAGGCTGGAAACAGGTCAGCAGTAGAACATTCTGCATGTGCAAGTCCCCGAGTCTGATCCCCAGACCTTTAAGAAGTTAAAAGCCATCCTCTGACAGCTGTAGGCTATAGTTCTGTTCCTTCTTCCTCCGGTGGCATCAGCCATTATCAGCCTTTTAGCCACTGAGAAGGAACAATATTTAAAATTGTGACTGAATATACTTCCTTCTAATAAAATAGAAGAGAAAGAGGACAAATATTTATTAGGACAGTTCAATGTCAAAAAATGAAAAATTCACAAAAGAAAACAGAGAAGAAACTAATGAACTCAGACACCATTTATAAAATCAACTTATAGTTGTTGTACACAGTCATGGCGGTAGTTTATAGTCACATTAACTTACTGACTGTTCTGTTATCTATTACTCCTATTAAAGTAATTCTAAATGACAGACATAGTGCGTCACAGTTTCGCTAGAGTTGGGAAAATGGGAGTAGCTGGACTGCATGGCCCTGGCTGCGGTCTCTGGAAGTTTCAGTCAGTGGTCCAGAGGTGCAGTCCCCAAGGCTCCAGTAGGTCTGGAGTATCCCTTCACATCTGTGGTTGCTGGCAGCTGCAGCTCCCTGTGGTCGTCTCCTGGCAGCTTCCCCAGTTCGGCACTTTTGTGGCATCCTCTCAGAGCTACATGGAAGCTGGCTTCTCCCGGGATGGGGAGGGAGAAGCAGTGTGAACAAGATGGAATCCACCAGGCCAGTAACAAGGCCATTCAACTGTCACTCCTGTTGTGTTCTGTGGATTCAAAAGAAAGTGCTGTATGGGCTCTACATCTTGATAGGTACTAGAGAATCTGTGACCTTTTATTATTTATTTCAATTGGTTTGATTTTATGACAAAGTCTCAGTCTTGCCCAAGCTCTCCAGGAATTCATGATTTCACTTGTACCTCTAGAGTGCTGGGATTTTAGGCACTGCAGCCACACCCTCCCTGTGTTCTCACTTTTGAAATCACTGTATTTCCTCAATTTCTCATTTTAAGGAGGACCTTCTCAGATCCTGCATTTATGCCAGCATTGCATTTAGGATGTAGGAGTCTGTACTGTTTCACATGCCTTTGTTCTGGAGAAAGTAGAGCTTTGTCATGTTTATCGTGTGTGTGTGTGTGTGTGTGTGTGTGTGTGTGTTATTTTTAGAAAGAAAATGGGCCAGGTGATGGTGGTGCACTCCTTCAATCCCAGCACTCAGGAGGCAGAGGCAGGTGGATCTCTGTGAGTTCAAGGCCAGCCTGATTTACAAAGCAAGTTCCAGGACAGCCAGAGCTACACAGAGAAACCCTGTCTTGAAAAACCAAAAAAAAAAAAAAAAAAAAAAAAAAAAAAATGGAAAAAAAAAGAAGAAAGAAAGAAAAAAAGAAAGAAAGAAAGAAAGAAAGAGCGAGCAGCAATAGAACAATAGTCTAGCCTTGGATTGTGTTTCATGGTAGACCCTGTAGCTAAGGAAATGAAGCTTAAAGTTCTGACTCTAATTTAGAGGTTAGAAGTCTGTGTTTCTTGCTTTCAGTTTCATTGGGGAAGAATCTGTGGCGGCTGGGGAAAAGACGGTCTTCACAGACAACCCCACGTGGATCATTGACCCTATTGATGGGACGACCAACTTTGTACATAGGTATGCCTTTAATTTTAATATAATCACTGTTGTTAACTGGATGATTCTCTGTGCAAGGCGATACATACTTTAGGAAGCTGTATAAGTTGTTTTTGTTCTTTATTCTAAGAAACTGTATAAAATGTAGCAGTGGAGCTACATTTCCTATGCAGGTGTTTTCTACGATGAGGAGGAAGTGAAGGAAGGGTACTGTATGGACTTGTGCCTGGTTGCCATTCTTTAAATGTCAAAAAAATGAAAAATTCACTTGGGTGCTCAGGTCAGTAAAGGAATTGGTACAGGTCACTGATGGAGTACTCTGTACAGTGAGTTCACTCTAAGAGAAAAGAGGGACACTAAAGGGGGTGGGTGTTGAGATCTACAGACTGAGATTTGAATCCTGCAGCTTATTTATTGGCTTTGTGACTGAGCGCAGTTAGTCTTCCTAAGCCTCAGTTTAAAATTTACGTAAAACCAGGCTGGAGAGATGGCTCAGGGTACAGGCTGCTCTTCCAGAGGACCCAGATTAGATTCCCAGCACCCACATGGCCTCTCACAGCCATCTGGAACTTCAGTCCCGTGGGATCCAACACCCTCTTCTGATCTGCACAGACACTGCATGAACATGTTGTTTAAACACCCATACACATAAAATAAAAATAAAGGTTAAAAAATGCTTAAGATCCAAATGTTCTAGTTAGTTGTCTGTTGCTGTGATAAAACCATGACCAAAAGCAACGTGGGGAGGAAGGCCTATTTCCTCTTACTCTCTACCGTTCACCATTGAGGGAGCCAAGGTACAAACCACGGAGGACTGCTCACCGGCGTGCTGCTTCCCCTGGCTTGCTCTGCTACCTTTCTTCTGTTGCCCAAGCCCGCCTGCCCAGAGATGGCACCACCCACAGTGGGCTGGCCTCCCTTACATCAATTAGTAGTTAAAATAATGCCCCACAGACATTCTCGAAGGCCAGTTTGATGTCGACAGTTCCTCAATTGCGATTTCCTTTTCTCAGATAAGTCTAGATATGTGTTAAGTTGACAGAAACTATAATCCTAGCACTTGGGAGGTGGAGGCAGGAGGATCGTGGGTTTGAGGCAAGCCTGGGCTACACATTGAATTCCAGGCTAGCATAAACTACCTAGTGATAGCTTAGTTTTTAAAAAGACCTTGTAAAATGGCCATATTAATAGCACCTGCTTCATAGAATTACTTCTCTCTGGGATTCTTGTTGTTCACTTTTGTAAGAACTAAGTATAGTGCCTGGTCTGGTAAGGATAAGTTGTCTTGTAACTGTGTGTGCGCACACATGTGAGTATGCTATATAGACAGTTCCTAAAGTCTATAAAGCTATAAGGCATAGAATCCACATGTGACAAGGCACCGTACCTTTTAAATACGGAAGTTGCTTGAGAGACATTGAATAAATCAAAAGGTTGTAATGTGTTTTTTAATTCCATGTTAAATACTTATGCTTATTTTCATCAGTATTTAAGCTTATTTCAGTTATGTTTGAACCTATTTTGCCTAATTTTTCAAAAATTCTGATTCTCTTATATGTGAGAATATAAAATATCTTTGTGCAAACTAGAAACCGTAAAAATCACTGGCTAACTGTGTTTATTTTTCTAACATTCAGCTCCAAGTTCCATGTCAGAATAGGAACGAATAATTTTTCCTCCCTGGTTTATTGCTTGTGGGGAAACTGAAAGGAATGTTTTCTGCTGTGGGATGTTCTGTATGGCAAATGTGTTGCTGATTGGTCAATAAATAAAACACTGATTGGTCATTGGCTAGGCAGGAAGTGTAGGCGGGACATGGAGGAGAATAAAGCTGGGAAGTGGAAGGCTGAGTCAGAGACACTGCCAGCCGCCATGATGACAAACAGCATGTGAAGATGCCGGTAAGCCACGAGCCACGTGGCAAGGTATAGATTTATAGAAATGGATTAATTTAAGCTGCAAGAACAGTTAGCAAGAAGCCTGCCACGGCCATACAGTTTGTAAGCAATATAAGTCTCTGTGTTTACTTGGTCGGGTCTGAGCGGCTGTGGGACTGGCGGGTGAGAGAGATTTGTCCTGACTGTGGGCCAGGCAGGAAAACTCAAGCTACGGTTTTCTTTTTAACTGTGACCAGTGTTAAGGAACTTTGAATTTGTATTTTGAAAACCAAGCGTGTACATAGTTACTTTCCTTACAGTGTTTGACATAAGGAGCTGTGGGATGGATGGTGTGCAGTGCAGTTTTCTTCCCACTCTGTGGCCCTGGGACTGAGGATCCCTTTCTGGAAGTGATGTTGTTGCCAGTTCCTTATGACCCTTTCAGTCATGTTAATGTCTGTAGAAGCATCGTGTGTGTGTGTGTGTGTGTGGTGCCTCTTTCTCTCATTTATATGTATAACTCATGACATATTCCATCTTCAGGGTCATGAGAATTAATTTGAAATAATCTTATAAGTACTTGTTGAAATTAAATTCTGTCTTGGTTAGTTTGTGTATTTTTTTTCAGGTTTCCTTTTGTAGCTGTTTCTATTGGCTTCGTTGTAAATAAACAGGTATGTCTTAAATGTATGGTTCATAAAATACCTTGCTTTCCTTTTTTGAGAAAAAGTAAATCTGTCTGGTGTTTGGTTTGTGCCACCACATCACTGTGAACATAAGCTACAAGACTGGGGACATCTTCACATGCATTTCCAGTGGATAAGGTTGTTTCCTGAGAAGACATAGTTGGAAGGAGAAAGTGAACACAAGTAAAGGAAACACAAATCACCATCATACTTATGACACACGTAGCTACGACAGGAGTTAATGTGACTAAAATGTCTCAGAGACGAGGTGGGACATTTCGAAACATGTCTTCATGATGTTAGTGAAGGGAGCCATTGAAAGGCAGTGAGGTGTCTGGGGCTGAAGGATGGCTGGAATTCGGGTGTGTTTAGGAACGTAGACATAATTGAATTCTTACATGCAAAACCCAGTAGAGTGAAATCTGTTGGCTGCTGTGGTCCCTTTTTATTCGTTCCCTGCTTTTTGGCTGTTCGGCTGCTGTCTTCAAGGAGCTTGTACACTGCATTTTATTAATATGAACAAAAATATATTTCAGAAATTTCTGAAATAAAAACCCAAGGCTAAGTGGTAGAGTGCTTGCGTAGCGTATATAAACCCCTGAGGTGAATTGCTAGCAACGTTCATGCACGGCATGCGCACACACACACACACACACACACACACACACACACACACACACTAAAAACATGTTAGTACAAAGCTCTTGGTTACTGGCTGCATTGGTCACATAGCACACCAGGTGGTCCTAAATAAGCCTTTAGCACAGATTCAGCCAGAGCGTAAAGTGGTCTCTCCTTTTGAATCCTTAGTTTGTTACAGTCAGGCGTGTCATCAGGTAAAGGTAACATGTAGAGGAAGGCAGAGAAGGATATAAGCAGTTCTGTCCATAGTGCAATGGGGGACTGTTCATAACATAAGGCGTCTTAGAAGCTGGGTATGTTAGTAGAAGAAGAAGAGGAAGAGGAAGGAAGAAGAAGAAGAAGAAGAAGAAGAAGAAGAAGAAGAAGAAGAAGAAGAAGAAGAAGAAGAAGAAGAAGAAGGACAACAACAACAACAACAACAAAAGGAGTTTTATCAGAAAGAACAGTTTGGCAAAGTTGGTATGATTTTGACCTCTTTGAAAGAGGTTTCTGCAAGACAGTTACAAAGCGTAGACCCCTGTGATGGGATTTATGGGAGCCAGAATTATTCTTAGTAGTTGAATCTGTGGATTTGAAGGCACCATGAGAATCTGAAGTGCTAGCAGGGAAATGGACGCCGTGCAAGATGGGTAGAAAGCCTGAGGTGTCAACTTTTAAAGGACACCTCAGGGAAACATGGAGCTTTTAAATGAAGTATTGAAGAGCTTTGAGGATGGCTGCCCATCTCCAGCATTTGGGGTCAGCAGAGATTTATTATAGTTACAGTAGACTGACTGGGCAGTGCAGAACTCAGACTGCAGGGTGTCAGGGGATTAGGAAGTACAAAATGTGACTTTTTGTCCTTTGATAGTGAAGGGGCTGCTTTAATAGAACCCAGGAGACTGGGTAAATAATGTAAATACCTCGGTACACAGTGGAGGCTGGGGTTTAAGGTTAGTGTCTGGTGAAACCATTCTCTTCCGAGGCTGTGCGTCTTAGGCTGCTGGAGAGGAAGAAGGCTGAATCCTTACATGGTAGAAGGCAGATGCCTCTTAAAAGCCACACCTCCCAGTACCTTTCTGTTAGCTATTAAATTCAGCATGAAGGTGTAGGGGGCAAGAATTCAAATGAGCAGTAAGGATGTGAAAAGGTTCCAGAAGAGAAGGAGGATCCGTGGATGGAGTTTGTCAGAGAATGCATGAGCAAGGATCCTGATGCAGGCAGACACAGGGTTCATTGTAGAAAATACAAAAAGCTGCCTCCATCCGAGGCTAGGAGAGAGGGACAGTGTGTTGTCCACGTCTGGACTTGAGTGGGAGGGGAGCTAAGGATTGAGGTGTGATGACCTGCTGTGTTTGGGCTGCAGTCGAGCGTTTGCTCATCTTATTAATATACTATATGTTCTTGTTACTTTATTCAGTTAATTGAAAAAACTCAGATTTGCTAAAAGAGCCTTGGTTTCCCATGCAGATGGAGTTTGGAGTTGTGTATAGCTGTGTGGAAGATAAGATGTATACTGGCAGGAAAGGAAAAGGTGCCTTTTGTAATGGGCAGAAACTTCGGGTCTCACAACAGGAAGGTAGGTGTGTCTTCCAGCACTTGGTACCGTTGGCCAAGTGTGCTTGTAATTATGTATTTGTATATTAACCTCTGGACATAGAGAGTATTAGCTGACCCAAGATTGTATTATCGTTTCCTTTTCCCTCCTGACCTCAGTTTTTAGTGTGATAAAACATGGAAAAGCAGGTGTCATTGAGCAAGTGCACACAGTGTCAGGTGATGTCAAAGGCAAGATGTTGATGTCCGTCAGGTTCCTGTTCTGAGGCTCGTGACTTCGTGCTTCAGCCACACTATCTCAGTCTCCCAGAATTCCTGCAGTTGACTGGATGCCCCTCAGCCCGTTATTGGCCAATAAATCATAAATAATGCAGTTAAAGCTGAGATCAGTTGGGCATGGGGCCATATTCTTGGAATCCCAACACTCAGGAGGTAGAGGCAGGAGGATCAGGAGTTTGAGGCCAACCTGGGCAAAGCCAGTTCTAGGGCATCCTATGCTTTATACAAACCTTTACCAGAGAAAAAAAATCTGTACCTTTTCCCAACAAGCAAAACCTGAGAATCCTTAAGAATGATACCCAGTAGTTTCTCAGTCTATGTGAGGGTCAAGTCCTTCATATAAAATAATGTAGTTGCATATAACCTGTCCACATACCCTTGTTAGTTACAGCTAATACAGTATTGATGCTGTATAAATGGTTGTTACACTCTATGGCCTAGGGAGATAATGTGGGAAAAGTTTCCATATTCAGTGGATACAGGGTTTCTTTTTTTGTGGGGCAGGGGAGGGGTGTTGCCATCTGAGAGGAGTTAAGTCCCTGAATGTGGACCCTGTCTGTATGAAGCTAAGTTTGTGTGTATGTGTGTGTGTTTATACATACATGCATACTCATTGAGGTAGACATTGTCAACTGTTTCAGTGTGACATTTGATTGGCATTTTAAGTCACCTTTCTTTCATAAAGGATCCTTTCAGTTTAGTAAATACTTTAAACTTGCAAACAGATTTGATTTTGGAATCTTTGCAGATTTTCATAAGTTTCATAACTAACCAGCCTACCTACCTACTTCCCTTCCTTCCTTCTTTTCTGATTTTGTTTTTTTTAAGATTTATTTATTTATTATGTATACAGCATGTATGACTGCAGGTCAGAAGAGGGCATCAGATCTCATTACAGATGGTTGTGAGCCACCACATGGTTGCTGGGAATTGAACTCAGGACCTCTGGAAGAGCAGTCAGTGCTCTTAACCTCTGAGCCATCTCTCCAGCCTGTTTTGTTTGGTTTTAAATCAAGGTCTCACTGTAGCTCTTGCCTGGAACTGGCTGTGTAGACCAGCTTGGCCTTGAACTGAGAGATCTGCCTGCTTCTGTCTCCTGGGTGCTTAGATTAAAGATGTGTACCACTATGCCCAGCCATAAACTTTCTCTTAAACACTTAAGTTGAGGGCATATTTTTAGTTCATTTCTTTTTGTTGTTGTTGTTTTTTAAATGATTTATTTTTATTTTTTTAATTACAGAGTTGTGTCGAGCACCATACCTAATTTATAAGTTTTTTAATATTTGAAGCTTGGAAAAAAGTTTGACAAAACTAGGAAAAAGAATTTAAATATCTCATTTTATTCTGAATTGTGTCAGATTTGTTCTAGGGTTTTGGTTATTGACATCTTGTGGTTTATTTGAAATAACTTCCCTTTTCAGATATTAGCAAATCTCTCTTGGTGACTGAGTTTGGCTCGTCCAGAAAGCCAGAGACTTTACGGACCGTTCTCTCCAACATGGAAAAGCTTTGCTCCATTCCCATCCATGGGTAAGCCTTCTCACTCCCACCAGACTTGCAGCTAATTTCACTTTCTAAAGGAATTTTTATTTTTCTGTGTGTGTGTGTGTGTGTGTGTGTGGTGCGTGAGTGTGCTTGAGCATGTGTCTACGTTCGTTGTGCTTGTGTGGAGACTAGAGTTGACTTAGATATCTTCCTCGTGGTTTTAGATGAATTTTGTTTGTTTTGTTTTTGATTTTTACAACATGATTTTGCTGTGTATCTTAGGCAGGCCTTGAGTTCACAGTCCTGCTGCCTCGGCCTCCCCAGTGCCTCAGTCTCCTCGATCTGGGCTGAGAGGTGTGTGCCACGATATCTAGCCTTGTCCGTCTGTTTTTGTCTCTCCATTTAAGTGTATCTCTTGCATAAAACAGAATGGAGTTTGAATTTATAAGTCAATTTTGAATGTTTTTAATAGACACAGCTACTAATGTATTGTGTTGTGATAGCTGTTTGTATTATTTGTAGTTACTGTGTTTATTTACGAATTCTTTGCTTTGTTTTAAAATTTTTGTATTTATAAATGCTTACATTTTTAGCAGATTTCTTTTGTATTAAATCTTTCTAATGTTCTTAATGTTGCTTTGTTTTGTGTTTGAGATAGGATGTCACTGTGTAGCACAGGCTAGCCTGGAATTTGTCATCCTCCTGCCTCAGTCTCTAGTTCTAGGGTAGGTTATATGTTTTACACTCATGTCCAACTTCAGAGACATTCGGTAATAATGAGTTTTATAAGTGAATAAGCCGAAAGTGAATATTGCTGGGAATGATGGCGTATGATGATACTGTTGCCCACTTAGGAGGCTGAGGCAGTAGGATTGCTTGATTCTAGAAGTTAGGGTTTCCAGTGGGAAACATAGTGAGACCCTAGCTCAAAAGTGTTTGTTTGTTTCTTTGTTTTTGAAGCAAGTACTTATCCTAGACATTTTAGGAAAAGCTACTGATTTGATGTCCTTAAACTTTATACAGGTGTTTATTATACAAGTAGCATTTTTCTGACCTTTATTATAGTTGTTTGAGTAAAAATAATCATTATAAAAGCCACTGAAGCAAGGCATGGTAGAGCATGCCTGGGATGGTAGAGCATGCCTGGGATGGTAGAGCATGCCTGGAATGGTAGAGCATGCCTGGGATGGTAGAGCATGCCTGGGATGGTAGAGCATGCCTGGAATGGTAGAGCATGCCTGTAACCTTGGCCTCTAGGAAGCTGAGATAAGAGGACTGTAGACAATAGTTCAAGGACAGCCTGAGCTATATAAGAAGAGACTGTGTCAAATGAACGAGAAGCCATTGAGAAGCCAGGCTCTGTAACACTTGTCTGTCATCCCAGGTACTGAGCAAGCTGAGGCAAGGAGGCTGGGCTGCATAGTGAAAGCTCATTTCAAAGAATGCAAAAAAGCTACTGAATGACGAGGAATTTAGGATCTTATCTTATTGCTGATTGTCAATACTCTTTTTCTCCTGAAGTATCATTGGGCATAGATTCTGAGAACTCATCAAGGACCATCGAGTAACCCAGCCTTGTTTTATAGCTGAGTTCAGAGGTTCAGACACAGGAGATCACACAGCTAGATGGAGATACGACCACAGCCCTGGCTTCCAGATCATTCTTTCTTCAATATGTAACTTCTCTTTTAGGAGTTAAGATGTTCCAAGTACATTTTGACCATCCTACAAACTATGATTTGGGACTGTAAATCTGGTCTGCGTAGTAATGTGTAAGGTAAATGAGCAACTTTGTAACCTAGCTGTGGAACCTCCCAGAACATGAAACTTTAAAGGCCTAAGGCCTAATGTCCTTGAGGCAGGAACAATGTGCCTTTTCAAAGCTTGTGCTACAGTTAGCTGTATGAAAGTTGGCACTTTAACCATGGGCAGTAAAATGGCTGTAAAACAGCTTCAAGTGGTTTCTACGTTAGCTTTTTGTTTGCTATTGGCTGAAATAAATAACTTTTAGGTTTTGATTTTGGGTTTTTGTTGTTATTTTAGTAGTTGGACCAGGAAGGTGTTAGCAAAGATATGTTCTGTTGTCTCATTCCTTTCTGGGCTCTATTGTGTTTTCAGTGCCATTTCAGAATTGCTCGTGGAAAAAAGTGAGATCTGAAAGTCATGATTTGTCTGACTGACGGGAACAGGTAAACCAGCCAGCAAGGTCCTGAGGAGGGCACGACAGGCATGAGATAAAGTAAATTATGATGAATCACTTGCTTGATCTGAGGGCATTAATGTGATGTGTCCAGCGTTTGGAGATTGTGACATGACATTGTCATCTTCAGGGTTCACAATTGAGTACTGCACAATCAAGTTACAAACAAGAATCGTATATAGTCTCATGGTGTTTCCTGTTCAGTCTACAGTTTTGTGTAAATTCAAATCGGACAGGCCCAGGGAAGAGCAGTTTTATAATAAACATGGTACTTTTTACTAATATATCATTTGTAGTCATTGCATATGTAGTTTAAGATAAGTTGTCCCCACTTTCATGACAAAAACTGTGAAAATTTGAAGAAGTTGTGAAGTAGCTGAGCGTGAGAGCAGACCCAGATCTTTTGATGTGGTGCGAGCTCTCTTCCCTCCTAGGCACACTCAGTCTCTAGAAGGAGCGGATGAAGATCCAGTTCAGAGCATACAGTGCAGAATCTGGGTCACCGTGTCACTGCCAGCAGAGTGATGTCTTAGGTGATCCTTAGGTGCTAAGAAGAAGAAGCTCTTGCTGACTGCCGAACCCCTGCCCAAGAGCCCTCGATGTCCACCAGAGGCCAGCAGGAGTTCCCCTGGTGGGGATGATTGTGCACCCTTGGGTGAGGCACCTCTGAGTGGTAGGGCACAAGAACTTACTTGTGAGCAGTCCTGGCCATTCTTTGCAGAACTTGAGCTCTGAACTACTGTGTCTCTGTCTCTCTTAAGAAGTAGGGAAGCAGCCTGTCCTGAGTTTTGGTTTCAGTTTGTTTCCTTTCAGGCAGAGTCTTACGGTGTCGACCAAGGTGGTATCAGACTTAGAGTGCTCCTGCCTGAACCTCCTGAGTTCTGGGATCCTGGACATCTCCATCGTGCTCAGCTTACCCCTCTTTATATGCTAAAACTTGTTACTTGGAGTTGGATTGACTCTTCTTGCTAGTTCATTAAACTTGATATGTAACTAAAGTGTAAGTTGTAAAATGCACTCCAAATCAGAGGTGTTTATTCGAGGGAGATGCAGTAAAGAAACTGCCAACATGACTGCTCCATTGTATGGTTAAGGTTTTTATTGTAGATATGAGAGGAAAAAGAGCCAAGGGCATCTGGAGGAGTCGAGAACAGAGAAAAAGAAGTAGACTGAACATTGCCAGGGCTGGGGAGCAGGAGCGAGTAGTGGAGAGCGCGGGAAAACAGATAGAGAGACAGAATAGTTGTAAGGAGGCGGAGTAGCCAGGGGAAGGGCCAAGAGACTGGCACGGGGGCTTTGAAAAGTGTACCTTGTACTTGTGAGTGGGGACTGAGGGAGCCTGGAAGCTGGCATGGGCTTTGATACGTAGCCGCAAGTGTATGTCAGTGGAGGCGTATGCCCCTTCTTCCAGAGGTTAGGAAAATGACTCCTTTTGGCATGTGGGAGCTGGATTACAAGCTCCTGAGGGATGTTGGCTTTCGTCTAACCACCAGAAGTCCTACAGTTCAGGGAGAGCTGGGCCTGGACCCAAATGTTGGATGAGTCAGCCGGTTCATTCTTTGTGGGGGAGTGGATCCGACGGGTGACATGTTATTCCTATCCTTTTTTAAAATTGACTGTGAAAGATACTAGGTTTTGTTTTTAAGATACAGAAAAAAAACAAAACAAAACTCACAATTCATCAATTCTCAAGTACTTTTGAAGAAATATAAACTTTGAGAGAATGAATCTCTCCCTTATTTCCAGAGGTTGAAATATTAGTTAACAAAGGAGTTCAAAGTAGATATGGTAGAACCCCTGTATCTCAGGAAGCTGAAGTAGGAAGGTGGCAAGTTCCAGACCAGCCGGGAGTATTTAGTGAAGCCCTGTCTCAAAAACAACAGTAACAACACCCCCCTCCCCCAAAAAAACCCCAAAACAAATAAATAAAAATTCAAAAGGGAAATTTGGGTAAAATTTTGAAGTACCTTACAGACGTTATGTTCCCTTGTTCCCTGGCTCCTTTTTGTTATGGTTGTTGGCGTGTTTGTTTTGGAGACGGTCCCATTCTGCCCAGGCTGGCCTCAGCCTCCTTCACCTACACTGTAGAGCACTGGCTCCCAGTATTGAGACCCTTTAAGAAGTTCCTTGTGTTGTGGTTTTCTCTTTGCTCCAAAAGCCATATTTAATTAAGTATGTAAGGCTATAACAGGCTTTATTGTGTTGCTACTTCATAACTCTAATTTTGCTACTGTTGTGAATTGTAGTGTAAATATTTTTGGAGATGGAGATTTGCCAAAGGAGTTGCAGCCCTCCTGTTGGGAACTGCTGCTCTAACGTGTTTATTTCTTAGTGAAAGAGATACTCATTAACATAAGCACTTCAAACACCAGTGCTGGTGTTTCTGCATATGCTACAGGTCAACCATGAAGGTCCCAGGACAGCTTTCAGGGGTCAATTCTCCCTCCACTGTGAGCTGTAAAGATGGAACTCAGGTCGTCAGACTTGGTGACAGTTGACTTGACTCACTAAGCCATCTTGACAGCCCTCTTTGTTTTTGAGGGTCTCACTTTGCAGCCCCAGCTGGCCTTGAACTTAATATGCAAAGACCAATTCTTGACCACCAGTTTTACTATTTATACGTGATTTTTCCTGAATTCATGAACCTCCTGCCTTGGCTGCCCAAGTGCTGAGATTAAGGTGTGTACTAGTTAGTGTATACAGCTTGATTCTCATTGCTCATCCGTTTCCTTTAAAGTAGTTTCATAGTCTTTCCTTTGTTATGTGCTTGATATTTTTTGAGCATTTTTAAGCTCCTGTTATTTGTAGAAAACAATGACATTTTGAAAAGTAAAGACTGAATGTTCATGCAGAGCCCAGGTTCCTGTTGTGGGTTCAAGCACAAGCATGATGTTTTCCAGTTGGCAGTGAGCAGTAGCATGGTGTTTTGCACGACCTGCAGACAGATTGCACTGTGCTGTCTGTGCAAAATAAATGCACTGTGGTGCTGGGGTCTAGACACAGGAATGTACACAAGGGTCATTATTCTTCACTATTTGTCTATTTTTGTTTTTTGAGACAAAATGATACAGTGTACTCCAGGCTGGCCTTGAACTCATTGTCCTGCTTCAGCCTCTCAAGTACTGTGACTACAGGTGTGTGCTGTCACACCTGGCTCTCTCTGCTGTTTTTTGTTTTGTTTTGTTATCCCTTAAAGTCTTTGTTATCTGTCGTGTTTGTCTTATTAAATGGTTGCTTTGTGATAAATTCGTGATTTACATAGTACATAGTGACAAGATTATTTTAAGAGATTTGTTTTTGTGTATGTGTAGGAATGTTTGCTTGCATATATATGTGTGCACCACATACATGAGTGACTGCAGAAGCCAGAAGAGGGCATCAGATCCTCTGGCACAGTGGTTCCAGGTGGTTATAAGCCACCATGTGAGTCCTGGGAACTGAACTCAGGTCCTTGCAAGAGCAGCAAGTGCTCTTAACCACTAAGCCATTGCCCCAGCCTTCATATGTAAATTTTATATACTTTAAGTATATAGAGAACATTTTTATAGAGAGAAAGTTTAAAGTATATAGAGAATACTTTTGTCCACAATTATTCTCTAGATTGAGGCAAGCAATCTCAGTTGGCATTGAAAGTGACCTTAAAGAGGAATACCTTTTTTGAGAGGGTTTGTTTTTTTTTCCTCTCCAATCTTATTTTTCATGGTAGAATCCGGAGTGTTGGAACAGCTGCTGTTAACATGTGCCTTGTGGCAACTGGAGGCGCAGATGCATATTATGAGATGGGGATTCACTGCTGGGACATGGCAGGAGCTGGCATCATCGTCACCGAAGCGGGTGGAGTGCTGATGGATGTGACAGGTGAAGTCATGGCACCCCAAAGCGTGTTTCCTTCACATCTGTTAGGCTTTTCCTCTCTGTGTGGGCTCTGGAAAACAAAACACAAAACAAAACACACAGTTGATAACATGTCCTAATAGAAAAATAAGCTATATAATTTTCTGTAAAATCAAACATTAGAGATAGAGACAAAGATGGTGGCTAGTGGTAATACATAATGAGAAATGATTGAGACTCTTCAAGTGGGAATATCAGGAGCTCCAGAGAGGCTTCAGGAAGGTCTGCTCTTCTCTGAGGCTTGTACCATGAACTTTGAACAGGCCATAGTGAGAGTAGACAATGGAGTTTGACCACCACCTCTTTTGCTCTGGCCACGGTCAGTTAAATATTAACTCTGAGCAGAAGGTGAAATTAGAGAAAATGAGCCTGAGTTCCAAGAGTTTACCAGTAACCAAGGAAGTATGGCACGGTGGAACAGGAAGTGGAAAGAAAGCCATGTAAAAGACACCGGAGTGAGTACCTGTCCACCACCACTTAGACAGTGAAGAAGTGGAGGCGTGTGCCTGTCCACAGCCGCTCAGACAGTGAAGAAGTGGAGGAGTGTGCCTGTCCACAGCCGCTCAGACAGTGAAGAAGTGGAGGAGTGTGCCTGTCCACAGCCGCTCAGACAGTGAAGAAGTGGAAGAGTGAAGAAGTGGAGGAGTGTGCCTGTCCACAGCCGCTCAGACAGTGAAGAAGTGGAAGAGTGAAGAAGTGGAGGAGTGTGCCTGTCCATAGCCGCTCAGACAGTGAAGAAGTGGAGGAGTGTGCCTGTCCACAGCCGCTCAGACAGTGAAGAAGTGGAGGCGTGTGCCTGTCCATCACCATTTAGACAGTGAAGAAGTGGAGGAGTGTGCCTGTCCACAGCCGCTCAGACAGTGAAGAAGTGGAGGAGTGTGCCTGTCCACAGCCGCTCAGACAATGAAGAAGTGGAGGAGTGTGCCTGTCCACAGCCGCTCAGACAGTGAAGAAGTGGAGGAGTGTGCCTGTCCACAGCCGCTCAGACAGTGAAGAAGTGGAAGAGTGAAGAAGTGGAGGAGTGTGCCTGTCCACAGCCGCTCAGACAGTGAAGAAGTGGAAGAGTGAAGAAGTGGAGGAGTGTGCCTGTCCATAGCCGCTCAGACAGTGAAGAAGTGGAGGAGTGTGCCTGTCCACAGCCGCTCAGACAGTGAAGAAGTGGAGGAGTGTGCCTGTCCACAGCCGCTCAGACAGTGAAGAAGTGGAGGAGTGTGCCTGTCCACAGCCGCTCAGACAATGAAGAAGTGGAGGAGTGTGCCTGTCCACAGCTGCTCAGACAGTGAAGAAGTGGAGGAGTGAAGAAGTGGAGGAGTGTGCCTGTCCATAGTTGCTCAGACTGTGAAGAAGTGGAAGAGTGTGCCTGTCCACAGCCGCTCAGACAATGAAGAAGTGAAGGAGTGTGCCTGTCCACAGCCGCTCAGACAGTGAAGAAGTGGAGGAGTGAAGAAGTGGAGGAGTGTGCCTGTCCACAGCCTCTCAGACAGTGAAGAAGTGGAGGAGTGAAGAAGTGGAGGAGTGTGCCTGTCCACAGCCACTCAGACAGTGAAGAAGTGGAGGAGTGTGCCTGTCCACAGCCGCTCAGACAGTGAAGAAGTGGAGGAGTGAAGAAGTGGAGGAGTGTGCCTGTCCACAGCCGCTCAGACAGTGAAGAAGTGGAGGAGTGAAGAAGTGGAGGAGTGTGCCTGTCCACAGCCACTCAGACAGTGAAGAAGTGGAGGAGTGTGCCTGTCCACAGCCGCTCAGACAGTGAAGAAGTGGAGGAGTGAAGAAGTGGAGGAGTGTGCCTGTCCACAGCCGCTCAGACAGTGAAGAAGTGGAGGAGTCCCCACAAGGAGCAGAAGGAGAGGGTGGCGTTTAAACTTGAGGCCCCTCATATTGGTACTTACTCAGAAAGGATACCTAGAAACTTACATCCTCTCAAGGCTGAAACGCTGTCATTGGGTGATGAATTTCTTTTCTTTTCTTTTTTTTTTTTTTTTAAAGAAAACTGAATATATTAAAATGTTAGCATGGCCATAAGATATAGCTATGTACTTGCTTGTCTCCTGGTTGTTTTTCTACAGGGTATAACTTTTCTGTATTTGATTTGATTTCAGGTGGACCATTTGATTTGATGTCTCGAAGAATAATTGCAGCAAATAATAAAGCATTAGCCGAAAGGATAGCCAAAGAAATTGAGATAATACCTTTACAAAGAGATGATGAAAGTTAGTTGGCATAGAACCGTGTCCAGCTCCATCACACGTGCTGACCCTGGGATGTTAGAGGTGTCTGATGTCACTGGTTTATATTTGTCTTTGAGGTCCTGATTTTAAAATGGGAACATTTTTTAAAAATGACATATGCAAAATTAGATGGAATATTTGATTGTTGAAAGAAAATTTTCATGTAAGAATGTCTTGGGGACAATATACAGGAAGTATAATTAATGAACTAGCCATGGAATAGTCACCAGTCCACATGATCCCCTTAAATTTTAATGTACTATTTATATGCACAGTTCTCAATTAGAAAGTTTTCCTTTTGTAAAAGTTTTTCTCTTTGTTCCAAAAGCCATATTTAATTAAGTTTGTAAGACTGTAGCAGGCAGGTTCTCTCGTTGCAGAGAGCCTTTTTGTTTTATTAATCACTGTAATTCAGCATCTGTCAAACAGTAGGCAATCTAAAATCACCTTACAATAAATACTGGAAGCCGCAGCTCCTGCTTCTAATGGGTACAGCGTAAGATGACTATTCTATATCTTTGCTTCCTGTTTTGAAGTTGCAGTTACGTCACTGTCCTTTTTATATTTCATATTGCCATGCCATTTCATAGGACTGTACTGCCAGAGACGATTGCTTATTGTGGGCATTTCTGCACTTGGTAGACTGCTGTATGTTGTAGGCTCCGTCTAAACCCCTGTGCTAGAGAGAAATTTTCACAGTATCTGCTATAGTTAGTTGTAGTGTAATGTTTTACTAAATATAGTATTCACATTCAGATACTTAAACTGGTTTTGGCTGTGCTGACAGATGTATTATGGAATTAATGGTGAATGAAGTATTTGATTTCTTTCCAAAATCCTTGCTTAATTTCATCACTGCTGTCTGTATATTCTATAAAGATCTTAGGCCTCTCAAACTCAAGAAGGCCTCTCAAACTCAAGAAGAAAATTTAATGGTTCCTATTCCTTTTTAAAGGATTAATTTATTGTCTAGCCTTGGTCCTTGGCATATGAACAGATATTTTGTTCTTAGTATGTTTGAACCTTGTATTTGATAAAATGAAGTGTTCTTGTAAGTTCCAAGGCAGATATTATTTTATTGTTGGGTGATTTAATATATTAAATCTCTATGATACTCTGATTTAGGCACTGTAGTTAATATATTTCTGCTGTTAACTACATGATTGAAAACATCACATATCATGTAAATTCTATTATAAGACAGGTTGTTTTTGCAATTAAATTTATGGTTGGGGATTTAGCTCAGTGGTAGAGCGCTTGCCTAGCAAGCACAAGGCCCTGAGTTCAGTCCTCAGCTCTGAAAAAAAAAGAAAAAAAAGGTAAAAATTTATTTTAATTAAGACTATTATAAATAACATTTTATTTTATTGTATTTACTTATGTAAATACAATAAATTATGCTGGCTTCACAATTGTTATGTAGCTGAGGATGAACTTGAACTTCAGATGGTCCTGCCTTTCTCTCTTTAAGTTCCGAGACGCACAGAAGATGGTTTTGCGCTATCACATCCGGTTTATATGTGCTAGTGATGGAACCCAGGGCCTCGTGCTTGCTAGATAACCCCAGCCCATAAATAACATTTAAATTAAAAGTGTAATTAATGATATAGTATCAAAGTTATAGTCTCAGCTCTTTTTAGGGGTTTTGAGTTGAGTTACAAATATTTGAAACTAATATATACGATTGGTTATGTATTTTTACCTTTTGCATATAGTTTTCTCAAAACAGGTAAACACTTAGTATTTTTCCCCATGGCTAGCTGTTTGTGTATATTCATGCTTTGGAGGCCCCAGTATTGCTCAGATGTCAATTCCCCCAGGTAGATATATATATAGTCAGGATTTGAAGGAGCTTTCTGTCACTTTAACAAAATGTGGTGGCATTCTTGCTGAGCTGCACCTAGCCTGGCCCCAGAGAGTAGCACCTAGCCCTAATCTGTCTTTTGTTTAGCAGACACCTTTTGTTTCTCTTGTTGCCCTCTGTGTGACGCCTGTCTAGGAGTTTCCCATGGATACAAAGGCCTATGCAAAACTTGATTCAGGAAACCGGGAAAACTGTGGTACCTGACAAACGGAGGAATTTGCACTTGGCATTGTATTGTTGGGAGCCCCTTTCAGATTGTTTTGAGCATATGGAAATTAACTGGCTAAACTGTAATGGCAAGAAATAAAAATGCCCGAGGCCAAGGGAAGGTGCTTCAGTCCTTCGAGGCTGGACCCCCCTGCAGCTGTCAAAAGGCCAAATACATTCTTAAGGTGCCTCTGAATCTTCTTTCAACGGATCTGCGCGAGCCCACACACCTGTGTTGTGATATATAGCAACAACAAAATGCCCAAGACACTTAATTTAGGAAAGGTTTGCTTTGGCTCACCTTAGAGTTTTAGTCCATGACTGGTTGGCCTTGTGGCTTTGTTGATGTGGCAAGACAGCACATTATGTCTGGCTTGCATTTTACAATGGTCGTGCTCACTCATGGCCTGGAAGAAAAGGGGGAAGAGACTGTAGTTCCACAGTTGCCCCTGAGGGCGTGGCTCAGATGGCGCAGAGGTCTCTCACCTGGGCTCCGTCTCTTCTCTGTCTTCCCAAACTACCACCCGGGGAAACACGTGTTTCTGGTTATTTCCCGGGGAAACAAGTGTTTCTGGTTATTTCCCGGGGAAACAAGTGTTTCTGGTTATTTCCCGGGAAACAAGTGTTTCTGGTTATTTCCCGGGGAAACAAGTGTTTCTGGTTATTTCCCGGGGAAACAAGTGTTTCTGGTTATTTCCCGGGGAAACAAGTGTTTCTGGTTATTTCCCGGGGAAACAAGTGTTTCTGGTTATTTCCCGGGGAAACAAGTGTTTCTGGTTATTTCCCGGGGAAACAAGTGTTTCTGGTTATTTAGGGTTTTTTTTCTCAAAATAATTTATTTTTATTTTATGTTCATTGGTGTTTTGCCTGCATGTATGTCTGTGTGATGCTTTCAGAAGACCTGGAACAGGAGTTACAGACAGTTGTGAGCTGCCATGTGGGTGCTGGGAATTGAAGCCTGGTCCTCTGGAAGAGCAGACAGCGCTCTCAACCGCTGAGCCACCTCTCCCTGTATCCTGTATTCTTTTGAGACAGGGTTTTGCTGTGTAGTCCAGGCTAGCCTAGAATTCTCGATCTTCCTATATATGCCTCTCTAATGCTACCATTACAGGCATGTACTCCCACACTGGCTGGGACCAGCTCTTTACTACACGCCCCTGTGGATGATAGCCAGTTTCCAAACTCTTAACAAGAGGCAAAGGGAGAAAGTTAACAACTAACACAGAAATACAGAGATCCCTACATGGCACTGGGAAGTTAGAATCTTACTATTCACCAGATGTGAATGAGTAGAGTGCCATACTTAATGCAGTGGTGTTTGCTCAAGGCCAGTGAGATAAGAGTCCCAATTATACGGCTCCTAGCAGTGAGATCAGGACCTGTCCCTGGCACTTCGCTGGCTTTTGGGAACCTGTTCCCCATGCTGGATTACCTTGCCCAGCCTTGATGCAGGGGGAGGAGCTTGGCCCTGCCTCAGCTTTATGTGCCATGCTTTGTTCAAGCCAATGGTAGGTCTGCGGCTTTCTGAATGGACATAGAGGAGGAGTGGATGAGGAGGCGGGTAGATGGGGAGCGGGTTGGGGGAGGGGAGAAGGGAGGGGAACTGTGGTCGCTATGTAAAATAAATGAAAGAAGGTTAATTAAATAAAATTTTTTAAAAATCCCAATTAGACCGTGGTCTAGTTTGTGAAAGATACCGCTGCATTTGGACAAGGAGGTTAGTCTTTCCTTCGAGTAGTGGGGATTGGATGTCCATGGAAAGAGGAGAAATACTGACTCCATCCCATCAAGTAAAAGATCAATTTCTAGAACTAAATACAAAAAGTAAAATGGGTCCACTGAGGTGAGGCAGTATGGGTAAAGGTGCTTATCACATCTGATGGCCTGAGTTTGCTCTCTGGGACTCCCATGGTAGAAGGAGGGAACTGACCCCTGGAAACTGTCCTCTGATCTAAACATGTACCATGGGTTGTGCATACCCCACCCCCATATTCATTTTTTAAAAGTAAAACAGTTTCTGAAAGAGCACATTTTCTCTCACTTTGGGCAAAAGCTGAGTCAACAATGCACGTACAATATACTCAACCTAAAAAAGGATGGATGAACTGAACTACATTAATAACTTTATCACTGAAACACCATCAAGGTTTCAGAAGGCAAGGCATCCATAGTCCTGTAATCCTGGCATTCAGGAGGTGCAGGCAGAAGGATCAGCAGTCTCAAGAAAGAAAACTCAAGCTCAGGAAGTTTGCTTTATAAATACCTATATGTTAGAAATTGTCTATATAAAAACGTCCACATCTAAAGGGCAATGCATTTGCAAATGTAAGCCAATATGTACTTCACAAAACAAGCACACATACAACTACTCAGTCATTCACCCAGGAAATGAAAACAGTAACACCCCAACACCAGAATGGTTAAAACAAAAAACTGAAGCCTAGCAACACCAAATACCAAATACTTATCTAGGAAGACAGAATGGATTGGTAAGCATAGAAACCCCTCAACTGGCACGCACCACTGCTGGTGTAAGTATTTGGTGATACTCAGGAAGTATCCAATCAGGAGAGATGTTTGTCTCAGAAGCCAGTCTCCACTTCTTAGTATACGTTGGACAGATGCAGACCTCAAATATCCACCCTGCGTGGCCAAAGTTGCCCTACGTGTAAAACTGAGTCTACCATAGCAGGCTGGCTTTAAAGGATGTGCAAGAGTCCCATAGTGAATACTACACAGCACTGAAAGGGGTGGGTGTGATAATTACCCAGGAAAATGTGATGGCTTCCAGTCTGTCTCAGCCACTGCTTCCCAAAGGCATGCCCTTTCTGAAGTCACCAGTGATGATCTAATTTTTTTTTTTTTTTTTTTTTTTCGAGACAGGGTTTCTCTGTAGCTTTGTGCCTTTCCTGGAACTCACTTGGTAGCCCAGGCTGGCCTCGAACTCACAGAGATCCGCCTGCCTCTGCCTCCCGAGTGCTGGGATTAAAGGCGTGCGCCACCACCGCCCGGTGATGATCTAATTTAAAGAAGCCAAATCGTGGTGTGTCCAAATCGTGCCTTTAAGTTGACCTGCATTTCTGCCCCCTTGTTCTATTTTCAGAAGCGCCTTGAAAGTTTACTCTGTCCCCTTCTCTGTTTCCTCTTCCCGTTTCTTACTGGTATGACACTGTTTCTAGGTTGCACCCTTGTTCCTCTTGTTTCCAACCAAGGGAGTCACAGGTCTGTGGATTTCACCACATCCTTACTACGGACTCTCAGGTCTTGACCTTCAGCTGTGTTTACCTCCTGAGAGGTCACCTGAATGTACTTCCAGCTCCCTCCTGAGTTCTCCCTCCAGAAGGCTCTGTTTTAGCTGCTCCTTGTGTGTCAAACTGCTGAATTTCCTCAGAGGGTCATGCTGTGCTCTATGTTCTCTCCCCTTTCAAATCGGAACCCATTTATTTGATTTTTACTTTTCCTAAGTCTCCTGCATTTCAGTTTGTCAAGGCCAGGTGCTTTACAGTGTGAGTCTGTGGAGATTCTCGTTGAACACTCCGCCACACTGAGAACTAGCACTTACTGGCCACCTTTCCAGCTGTCACTCCAGCTGTCCAAATCAGCTGACTGAAAATAGGTCTTTCATCTTATGGCTATAAAGATGCCTATACATCACAGTGGTTCTTTGTCCCTGGGCACTGACCCTAGCACATAGGCTATGCCCATATTTTGCACTTGAAGGTGGTGTATCTTTGCCTGCAAGAAGTCATGAGAGCACCAGACCCACCCACGTAGGGTAAATGTAATTTGTAAGGGAACTGGAAAGTTAGGAGTGCCTGAATGCAACTAAGTCACAAAGTGTTTATTGTCAGCACTGACATACTTGGGCGTGATTCTAGCACTCAGGACACCCAGGCAGGGGGATTTCAAGTTCTGGGCCAGTAGGGGCAACATAGGAAGACTTAGCTCACACTACCGACAAAATAGAAGAAACAGCTTTTTGAGAGTGGCGGCCCTCATCTTGAGTTGAGTCTGAGCATTCAATCTCACACATCAGTCTGTTCAGAAGGAACACAAATGTACCATGTAACTGTCACTTTACACATCATCTGCTTCTATGACACATATACTATGTTTACTGTCTTAAGTACCTTACCCTTTCAAATTTTTCCAGTCTTTTCATTAACTCATGTGCAATCACTTGTCCTCTGCTTTGTTGAAGCAGTAAGTCAGACAATGTATAGTACAGTAATGTCTGAAATTGGCTGGCCATGAAAACGCCAGCGCCACATTCACTGGAAGGGCACTCTCCATGAAGGCAGCTAATTTGGCCAATTTCATGCATGTTAGAGTGTTTCAGAATGGTCAATGTAACTAACCTCTTACGCTGGTTCTTTTTTGGGCATGATGTGTTTCTCCTCTTCTCAGAACCATCATGAAGTTCAACACAGGGTGGAGAGTGGACTCCTTTTGGATGCTGTGGTCAGACCAAGTACAGCATCTCCAAGTAGCTTATCAGCCTTTGATGACAAGGAGAAATCTCTTGTCTTTACATTTTCTAGTGTCTGGGGGTTCAACATTGAGTGTGATAGTTTTCTCTGTGGGGGTCTTTCTGAACGAAAATCTGCATCTTGGCTGTGGTTTCATTGCCGATGGTGGAGGTGGAAGGAAGAACAGTTAGAGGCCCAGGGGGGTTCCAGGCCAGAGGTCTTTAACTCTCAAAGTATTTTCTTTGACCGTAAATGTTATTAATAATTTTTACTAAAGCAAGAGGTTCATATGTTCAAGGCCAATCTGGGCTTGTATTCTAGGCTATTCTACTCTAGCTTAGGCTTCATGGACCTTGTCCCAAAAATAAAGGTTTGCATTTATTGAGCACAGTGTACCTTGCATTATGCAGAACACTGGATAGTCAATGTATTTATTACTCATAAAATGCCAGAAGTGGTGGTAGTGCACACCTGTAATCCCAGCATTTGAGAGGCTGAGGTAGGAGAATTGCCATGAGTTTGAGGCCAGCCTAGGCTATATAGCGACTTCTCAGTCATCCAAGGCTACCAGAGCAAGATCCATCTCAATAAACAACAATAACAGCAAACAATAATCCTAAGGGAAGTTATAATCGCCATAGCAACAAAGATGCTCTTCAGTCAGCTGACTTTCCCTGTACAGATAACCCAGCTAAGCTATGGGCTCCTGTGGAGA